AGTACCTCAAAAGACAAGGACTGATTAAATACATAAATATATAAATAAATGATTAACTAAACATTTAACAATAAACAAGTGCACACAATAATGACAGGGTGAGGATCATGCAGCGATAATAAAGGTAATAAATAAAAAGACAGTCAGACATATATAAAAGTTTTCTTGATTTTCTAATGGACAGTAAGTGGACACATCCTCTATAGGGAATACACTTGAATAAGGCATTGATCTGCAAATGTTAGGTAACATGTGAAATATCACATCTAACATGAAATATAAAATGTGCCATAACTTTTACATGGGACATCTTTTTCCTGCAAGATGTTCAATTTAGCAAATAAACTTTGCATTTACTAAATTAAATGTATGTGCTCTGTAGATGATGTGTTACTTATTTACACTTAGAAATAAAAAAAAAAAAAAACATTAATTGTTTAGGATGCACAAACTTTTGCATATGACTGTAGGTGAGCAGTGATGAGGGGTGCAATGCATAAAAACTGATGAAGTCATAAAGTATCTCTATACTGTTATTTGTTATTTGATTTGTAAAGCAGTGAAAATATAAACTCAGTCAGTGTTTTACCTTTTAAAGTGAGTCTGATGGTTAAATGTGCACCTTTAACAGCACACCAGTAAACTCCTTCATCCTCTTCAGTCAGGTGTGATATGAGTAGAGAGAGATTTCCTGGAGAGTGACCGTTAACCAGCTGAACTCTGTTTCTGTACTGACAACTCTCACTGGATATGTCTTCCCTTGCTTTTGTTTTTGTGTTGTCTTTCTTCCAGCTGAATTCCTCAGGTGTGGTGTGTAGGTCAGTGCAGTAGCAGGGCAGCAGTACTGACCCTCCTGTATGAGCTGTGATACTCAGTAGTTGTTCTCTGTTCTCCAGAGTGCAGCCTGCAGAAACACACATCAGTAAGATCAGATTAATTAGATTATTATATAATAAATACATACCATTTATAACACCTTTATTTTATATACACTTTTTTAATGAAAATAAAGAAATCTTTTCTATAACTAAAGAAAAGAAAAAAAAACAGAACAGTTACAAATGCGTATTTTGTTGTCCTTTATATAATGTAAACATTTCAGGATGAATGGACCAACAGAAGTGGTCAAAAATGACATGGAAAAAAAGATTTCATGACATTGACTTACATTAAAAGTAAAGAATACTTTTGTCTTTTCCTGTAAAGTTACCATTATGAAGATACTTATTTTCTCACAGCAATGTACATGTACATATATGCAAATATAATGCTGTGTTTGACTATATCACATTTTAACGTCAAAAATGCAACTTGTGCTAATTGCAGTTTTTGGCGGACACATAAATTTAGATTTGATTGACATCAGTAACAGTAAAAACATCACTCACCTTCAGAGACATGAAGCCCAATGAAGAGAAGATAAAAAGTCAGCAACATTCTCACTAGTAAAACAACACTGAGTTCACAGCACACTGACAGCTCCACACCCAGCACTACACTAGCCCTGTATACCACACTGAGTACACAGCTCTCTCAGCAGCTCTTCACTGGAGTCTAACCCACTCTAATGTCCGTGCAGCTCACAGGAGCTGTGTTTAAATCAGCTAGACCAGAACTCTTCTGTCTTTTAGAGATTTTATCAGCAGCTTCTTCAGAATCACAAAACCACATATAGTGACATAGTAGCCTGTGAGACATGAGAACAATTACTGTTTCCTCTTTTGCAGTTTCCTCATTTCACAGCTCACAAAAGTGGACACCAGAAACAGCCAATTGAAGAGAGGTCATACACACCCCTTTGTCTTTCTGACCTATTCTTCTCAATGCACAACTATCTCTCTTTAGCTTTTGATTTGATGTCTTAACTTGCTTGCTTTCATGTTTAGTCCTTCAGGTATTCCAGGAGAGCTTTTCCAAATATGTTCCACCGTCAGTTTCTCTACTTTCTTGAAGTCCCACAAACTGCCTGCACTCCATGATGCAGAGTGTCCAGTCAGCTTTATAACTGCTCTGGTTTTAAGAGTGTGTTTGTGTGTACTGGGGACATCAATCCATTTTGAACTGAATTATGTTTTGTACATAAACACTGGATATCTTGCCATTTCTCAGCAGTGTTATACTGGTTTGTAGATATATTCCATAATCTTCTCTCTCAAAACTGTATTAAAGCAGTTTCAAGCATCATGTAGGCAGCTCTGATGACTAACTGTTATCTCTCCTTTCTGTGATCTCGCTAGTTGTTCTCTCTGGCCTTTTTATTGTAATGAGAAGGTTGTGACATGTCTATGTGGTCTACGTATCTATAATAGCATCAAGTGTGGCTGCTGCTGAGGGGAGGGGCCAAGCCATGCTGACTGGAAACCTATTGAGGCCTCAGAGACATAAACACCAGCACGAGTGACCCAGAGTGCTATATTTACACGTATATGACATAAAAAATAAGTATGTATTTGATGTCTTATTTGTTTTAGCTCTTGTCAGAGTGCTTTTCACTCTCGTTCTATCTCTCTCTCTCTGTACTTGTGTGTGGGGGACCAGTGTTCTCCTTAATCTATATATGCCTGAGAGAGTCAGTTCTAGTGCTCATTAAGGACGGAGCATCAAAACATGCTGGTGGTGAAACATGGCAACTCCACATCTGCTACACACAAGATACAGCATACAGTTGTCATAGCTGTTATGGCCTACACTGAATTAATTTACTTTGCATTTTGTAAAGATTTGTGTCAGAACTGGCCTGTAAGAATAATCCTCACTCTCAGAAAACAATGTACTAAACTGTCACTGGGGCAGTTCACACACGTTTAAATTACCCCACACACAGTGAGGAGGCTGGATAGAGAGTTTCTTCCAGGATCACATTGCAGTAGCATTTTGGTGTCAACAAGCCTCAAACTACATTTAGATGCCACTGAAATGATAAACTATTTGGAAGACATGTTAAAATAGAGCCTTTTCTTTTATCTAACCACAAACAAAAGTGCCTGCAGTTCAGCTGATGCTACTGAAACTGGGCTTTAGAGTCAGAAGAGACAAATTTAGAGCTTTTTGACAACAAACACTCAATATAGGGGCATACAAGTGCGGATATACCAAAAATGCCTGCTGTCAAGTATAAATGCAGAATATGTGATGTTTTAGGGCTGATTTCCCCTGAATGCCTTAAAAAAATCCTTGAATAGGTATATAACATCATGGACTCCATGAAGTACCAGGAGATTTTATGTAAAAATTCTGGCTGCCTCTGCAAAAAGCTAAAACTGTGATGACTGAATCTTCCCAGAAGGACAGTGATCAAAAATATGCATATTTATCCATAAAAAATAGCAAAATGACCATAGAATTAAATTTCAAACATGGCCATTCATGTCCTGGACCTAAATACCATTGTAAATGAAAAAGAGGTCTGGGATCATGGAGGATCTGGAGAGTTTCTGTATTGAGGAGAGGTCTCAGATTCCTTGCTCTGTATTATCCAAACAATCACCACTTTAAAACCAAGGCAAGACTCAGTGCTGTTATGTTAGCAAACAAAAGCTGCAAAGTACTAAATGCAGGGATGCCTGTAATAATAATACACACATTTTTTTCAGAGATTGCTCTTTGGTAAGACTAAATTTAGAGGAGTTATCAAACAAATTTAGTTCAATAAAAAAAAAAAAAGAAATTGATTACTCTCATATTTTCAGTGTGACATTGAGCAAATTAACCAAAAAGAAAAAAATGACATGAAACTAAGTGGTTAGTGTTTTTAAATGAGTGAAACTTTCCTGTGTTTTATCCTCATTGTGCAGTTTGTCAGTCACATCATCTTCCTTATAACCTTTATTTATATGGTATCTTTCCCAAACTCAAGGATGTTTTACAATTTACAAAATTCACAGTAAACAAAACAACTCACAACATACACTAACCCACACATAGCTGAGTGGGAGTTCAAGGGTCCTTTCAGCCTGGGAGGCCTTGGAGATGCAGTGTAGAATAGCTCCAGTGACCAGCCCAGAAAGCCTCATAGCTGTGGTGTAGTGTAGCTCAGGTGGCCAGCCCAAGCAACTTCATTGCTGCAGTGTAAAGTAGCTACACAGGAACCTCCCAGTCAGCAGCTGCGATAGTAGTGTTGCTTAAGCAGCCAGCCAAAGAAACCTCTAAACCAGGTGAGGAAGTCATTCTCAGCTGCTGCCTCAGCCGACAGGGTGGTAAAACGTCAGCTAGCATGGAAAAATGTATCCAAACAACACAAACAAACACAGTATCAATCTAAACAAACAAAACCAATGTAAAGTGGCAGACATATTGCACCAGCATGGTAACATTAGAAAACACTCGCATACAATACATACTCATTAACAATATATGTTCAATAACATTGAGGCCTACCAAAATCATTAGTAAATATTAATAAAAAGTATGTGAGGTAGATTTGTTTTTAGTCTAAATTTAAAGCTTTGAAAATCAATTTCAGGACGTAGTCAGGAAACAACTATACTGAACAAAATTAGCTTCACTAGTTGCCACACAGCCAAACAAAAGCATCATGAAGAGCTTCTGTATGGTGATGGTAGATTCACTGATTTCTCCTTCTGGAAAGTTTGATTAGTTTTGACATTAGTAGTTTGGTTAGTAGTAAACTGACAGTCAGTGATGCTGGAACAGGAGAGAGTGGAACATACAGAACAAACAATATAAGTACATGAAGCATTCATGAATACAAATTCATAAAATATTTGCCCCTTTATTATCAGCATCTGTGAAGAAATTCTTAAACATTTCCACTCATCTTTTTAAGATGTTTAAACTACTACATTTAGAATTCAGATCAGTGTTGCAGGACTGCACAGACTGACCACTCAATCTCCACCAGCAGTACTGTATTGAACTGTGTCAGGATCTGATAATAATACAAGATACTTTATAAATTAAGACACATAAGAAATGTATTATGATTATAAAGGTTGATTGTGTAGTTCGTACCTTTGTTTCTCTTGGTGTGATAAACCACAGCTACTATAATGTGGAGGAAGATCACAGTCACCAAGGCAAAGGGGACAAAGGACAGAGACTGTGGAGATTCTGCAACAAATAGTGTATAATATTGGTCAGATTATCTCACAGCACTAAATCTTAAATAATCATATGTGTACATTTACATATGCTCATCCGAAAATGTGGACTCAACCTGGACAACACTCAGTAAATATTTACATTAGTGTCTTAAACAGCTATAAATATCAATAACAAATAAAGACACAACCTTCTTATAGTTCCATTTTTATTTTAATTGTAGATATGCTGCACAGCATTTTAGATATGTCCTGGAGCACCAAGATTCCATTTAAATGAGTTTTGCTGCTTTAAAATGAGTAGCAGTCAACACAGGTTATTGCAGCGCACTTTGAGAAAAAAGTGTCATGGTCCATTCACCTCACAGTGAGCTTCTTTTTCCAGTGAGACAGAGAACAACTAGCTTGTTTTAGCCTGTCATGTGCAGATCACTGTCCACATCAAAAAATAAACCCCTTCATTCACTCAAGTGTTTGTCACTTTAAATAAATTTTAAGGCAGCATTATATGTTAAGGCAGCCAATGTGGTTACCTCTTCAACATTTTACCTTAAAAAGTAACCAACCTGACTAACTTAATTTTTTTAGTTCATTGAACTTCTGATGGAAAGTGAACAAACCAATAACATATGATTTATATTCTATTAACATATTATTTGAAAATAAAACAATTTTAAGGCAAACAGGTACATTTAATAACTTCAGACATCCATTACGATATTGTAATAATGATGACTAGAACTGTAAATAAGCTTGTCATAACAACTGACACTACATAAATGTTAATAAATTATTATTCTAATAGACGTCATCTGACACAAAGGCCACTTCAGCTAACTTTAATGAAAATTGGCCAATGTAGCTTCTATAGTGAATGGCGCCTATTGGTCCAAGCATTTATAAACAGTTACGTAGGGTTATGTCAGATGTCATGACCAGCTTGTGTAGGCTTCATGTAGCCTTATAAACCACAACTCACAGTACTGTTACAGAGAAGTGCAGGATGCAGGTACAGATAACAAAGGTGTAAACATTGCAGGGTTACTACCACTTAGCACTCCATACGTACCTTTTTTCCAGTACATTATTTTTTTTTTTCTATTCTATTAATTCAAGTCATCCGTAATATTGTAGTAATATGGCTGTAAAATAGTACTTAAAAAGTAACTAACCATTCTTTTATCATCATATGCAGAAAATAACTATTATTTCTACCAGATAATATTGGTTAGTTCTCTGTAATATGATGGAAACAAGGCTATTATAGTAATTACATAGTAATTGACTTGTCTTTATCTTATGCAGAGCATAACCACACAGTGTTTATGACCTTACATACTGCTTTGGAAGGTGGTGTCTATGTTGTCCTGTTAAATATGGGTGAATAAGGCACAAACTCAAGACTTAATTAAGACTAAAGGATAGAAAAATGGAGATGTGTTGTACTAATCGAAGCTAACCAGTCAACCCAGACTTTCAACACAGAGAATATCTACATAATAAACAAGAATATAACAAAGAATCAAGCCAGAAGGTCCAGAAACAGAAGCTAAAAGTCTCACATGCCGTGACAAAACAGGAGAAATCTAAAGGATTTGAACTTGAGTGTTGAGTTAAAGTGTATTTAACTGTTGTACTTAATAATGCAGCCATAGAATCTGATACAGTGTGATTCAGTACTCCAGTCCATATCACTCCTGTGTTTTCTTGTGTCCCTTTGCTGTGTGTGGTTCTGTTTAGCTTCTGCTACTGGACTTTTTCATTCTGTCACTGGACTGTTCATTTGTTTCTACCACCGCCTTTTTACTTTTGACCTTTTAGATTTTTAGACACTGTTATGTTTTTCATTGATAGGGGGTGTACAGTACGTCAGACTCACAGGTAGTACCCTGTTGCTGTTTCTGTGTGTGAGTGTAATTTATATCATGCCACTGTAGACAAACTAATTAGCTCATTTAAAAAAAAAGCGTTGATGAAAAAGTCAATAAATGTTTAGATGAAGTTTTATTTAATTGCAGTTTTATGTATTCATGAATTTGAAAAGGCAAAAGAAAGAAAAGCATAAAACAAATACAGTGCATTTTAATATGAGTTGAGGTGTGTTATTTGTTTACTCTGATGGTGGTGTATTCGGTCTTTTCTCTGATGTTAAATACTCTGGGTGTTGTGGGTGTTTTACTGTGGTCTATAGTGGAGTACATCACTTCATCCTGTAGAGGGAGCACAAATATTAATTTACACACAACACTAACACTTAAATCAAGCATACATAGTTTGCATGTTTGTTAATATGAAGCCAACAAAGTCTTGACCATTTGTAACCTCCTGTGATAAAATCCTGTAATATTACTCTAGTAAGTCTACATGGTTCTTTCTCTTCTGATGTTCTGTTTGCTGGTATTGTGCTCATTTCTGTCTCGCGTAATTTTGGTTGTTTACACATAGAAGCAAAAAAAATTGTGAGTGTAATATGCATCATTCATATGCCTACATGACACACGTGCACAAAAAGGGGAGTCGGATTCTGTTTCCTTCAGCTCATCAACAAATGCACATGTACTATTAGTGCCTAGAATTAATAAAGTTACATCAGAGGGTTGAGCCTTTTCATACAAAGCTCCCCAGCTTTGGAATAATCTTCCAATCAGGCTTCAGTTTTTATATCTAGGCTAAAAGTCTATTTAGCCAAGCTTTTGGTAATCAGCTTTTAATGTTAGTTAAAGGGTACAGATTTTGGAGGTTCATTGACATAGAGTACTACGGTGACTGGGAGTGTTGGTGCTGTTGTCCTGCTGCTCTCATGCCTTCACTGTAATACTACCACTCTTAGAGCTCGGCCTGCCGGAGTCTCTGTTTCACTCTGTATTCTGTAATCAGCCTCTCTTAACAGAACTAATTGCCCATGTGTTTCTCTGCCAAGCTGAACAACTGCCCATTCCGATGCTGTTGTTTCATCTGCCTTGATCGGGTGCCCACTGCTCGCCTGTTACTCAGACTAGTCTGACCACCATGGAGCTTCCTCCTCTATAGGATTGTGCAATGAACTCAGCTGCATGAACTGACCCTCCTGATGACACTTCTTTATATATATATATATATATATATATATATATATATATATATATATATATATATATATATACGTATATACACATGACTACATCTGCTTTTCCTTTCTGCATTTACATTTGAGTAGGTGTTTTCTGTGATATGTAGACATGATATATAAATAGAATGTTATAGACATAATATGCAGATGGGATTTGTCATTGGGATATGATGGAATGATCCAATATGATAGGTTATGATGGTATGCCATAGGATGGGATAGATAAATGCAATAGGATATAATGGGTTATGATGGAATAGGATTAGACATTACAGAATTACAGGACGTGTTAAGATGAGAACACAGGATATGATATTCAGATATGATAGGATCTTGTAAGAAGTGATGGGATGTAATAGGATGTGGCAAAATGTTATGGGATATGATGGACTACTACTGGATGTAATTAGATATGATGGGACATGATGGAATATGACTGAATGTGATGACATATGATGGGACAGGATGAGATAAGAAGAAATGTGATGAGATATGATGGGATGTATGAACTCACCTGTGATTTCTGCTCTCTATTCACCCTTCCTTGCTCTTGGCTCTCTGTCTGTCCTTGTCTCAGTCCTGCAGAATGAAACCAGACAGAGTGAGACACAGATACTGCACGTATTTTGTGAAAAAGTGTGTGTGTGTGTGTGTGTGTGTGTGTGTGTGTGTGTGTGTGTGTGTGTACCTCTGCGTCTCCAAAAGATTACTCCTCCAATTCCCAGCAAGAGAAGAAGAAAAGGAATGACGATGAAGAAATGTGTGGAAGTAGAATGATCTATGCCAAGAAAGAAATTAGAAATAAGTGGGATATTTGTAAATATATACTTTGTCTTGACAATATTTAAACAGAATTATCTACCATTTTAGTATAAGAACTCCTGAGTGCACACTTTTAATTAATATGGCTTACTGCATTTATTAGTGATGATACTGATAGTTATTTTGTTGATTTGGCCACAAATCATGTGTGTACATATGCATTGTATATTCATGTGACTGGCAGTTTTCTTGCTGTTAACCCCCCCCCCCTTACTTGTTGAACCCTAACAACCCGCCCCCCTCCTTCCTTTAACTGTCTGATATATCCTAGACCTCAACACGCACCATTGTTATGAAATAATCGAGAGACATTGGCTTCAACTGTGAGTGGCCATATTTTGGCTCATCTGTGTATATTTTACTTATTATGGGGTTTTGCACAGTGTGCTTTTGCAATTTTACAGTATACATAACCACAAGTATGAACTCTGAGAAAAGCAGTTAATTACAGCAGCGACAACAAATACAGTCAGCTTCTTATGCACTGGTACATTCACATGATTTTTTGTAATATTGCCTGTGTACATCACCACAATGGATGTGAAATAAAGCAGTCAATATGTGATTGTAGTGTAGACTTTTAGCTTTAATTCAAGGGGTTAACACTTGTCATGAATAGTTTGTTGTGAAATAATGAGGAAACAGGCCACACTTGGCTATGAAACTGCTTATCAATCAACTGTCCAATTACATTTAAGTCTGTAGAAATGGAGGGACTTTGTGAAATATGACTGTAATTCTTAAATGGTTATTGCACTATTTATTGTTAAAAGCATTGAGTTAAAGCTAAATGTCTGCACTTCAATCACATGTTGATTGCTTCCTTTAAAATCCAATGTGGAGGTGTACAAAGGCAAAATGACACAAATTGTGTCAATGCCTTAATACTAAAGGACCTGAATGTGAATAAGTGAATAAGCTAATACAGAGACAGAGGTAATAAACTAACAAGACACTCAGTTATATGTAAAAGTTTGGACGCCCCGGTCAATAAAACATAGTAATATTTAACATTTGTGCAGGTCACATTTTACGTTAAATTCACAGTATGTCAATTTCAGTAACAGTAATGTTACATTAAAATGTACAGAAGTGATTCTCTACAGAGAACAATATTAATCTATATATGGCAATATCACACAACAGACCACATTTTCATAATATTTAATGTTTCTCCTGTCACCTGTGAGCAGTGCTGTAAATGCAAAAGTTTCGTAAAAGCAGGTGTTTATTGAATCTCAGTACTCCAAGTGGAAAAAACAATATATATATATATATATATATATATATATATATAATATATAGTGCAGAAGGAAAACTCAATATCTACAAACATATAAAACTTAATAAGAGTAGTCCATTACTTCAATCACAATTTTAACAGTTTTTAGGCCCCAACCACACTTCCTCAAACTCTCTATCAAACTACCTCACTCTGCTTCCTCTGGGGCTTTTATTGAGCTAAACACGTAGTGGGGTTACATCACTTCTGTTTTTCACAGGGAAAATTCACTATAAAAGCTCACCACACAAAGGCTACTGTTTCCCTCCCTGAATGAAGACATGGCTACTTTTCTCTGGAATCTTTTCACAGTTTAATGATTTCCTTTCTTATTTAATTTAGTTACTCAGTTAATCATATTTTGCTGACTCCTCCCCCCCAAACCCCAAGCCCCCCCCCACCCGCCCGCCATCACCGCTCAGAGCTTAAACTCTTCAGTTACTTTGCTAAAGCAAGCATTAATCTAAACATTAGCCCTAAGTAATAAACCAGGTTATATTCAACATTACGTTTCTTTGTTCCCTGCAGGTTTGATCTTCTTGAAAGTTCAACTTCAACTTCCCAGCTTAAACACTATCAATCAATAAAGGCTATTTTAAACAGCATGTGTCTGTCTTTTTACATGTTAAATGTCCCCATTGCATAGAAAGTCATTGCATATCTATTGTGGTGAAGGGCATCTCCGTCACAGAGAGCACAAAAAAAAAAGAAAATCTTTAACTTAACTACAGTCATTGTTCTGTACTTACCATCAGGTGAAATACTAAATGTTGTATTTTCTGCTGGTCCCTCTGTAGAGAGAGAAGAGGTTGCCCGTCAGTGCAGGAACAAAACAGCAGTGGGCAGCTCACTGTAGACACAGTCACATTGACTTTTTTTGTACAAACCCAATTCAAAATGGAAATGGTATGTGAAATGCTAGTAACATCAGCCTTGATTTTTCATTTTTATCTGTATTAAAGTGAAAACAATACAAAAACACAATATTTCATGTTTAATCTTATTGACTTCAGTGTTATTTTAAATATATGCTCATTTCAAATTTGATACCTGCAGCATGTTTCGAAAAGGACAGTAGCATATTTACCATGGAGTTACATCACCTTTCATTTTAATAGCACTTAATAATTATTTGGGGGCTAAAGATACAAACTGATCCAATTCTGAAAGCAGATCAGATTTTGTAATTTTTCTGTTATTGAGTCTTCAGCTGTCCAAACATACACGTCCCTCGTTGTTGTATATTGCACACAGTTTCAGTGGAAGACAGTTCTGGACTGCAGAAAGACCTACACTCTCTGATTACACAGCCATGCTGTTGTAACATGTGCATCATATTTCTTGCCGTTATCATGTTGAAACTATCATCTCATTTATATTTGGTGCGAGCGATTCATAACCTAGTTCCACAAAAAGTAACACCTTAACCTCTCTGGCTGTAATTTTATGAGTAAAAAGTTGATGTGGATTGAATTATATGAAATGTTTCCAAACAATTTTGCTCACACATACAACAAATCACACACACACACACACACATACACATACACACACACACACACACACTTAGCTGATTAAATAAAACATTTAAAAGACACATTTTGATGGAGCAGCATGATAAACTTTCTAACTGCTGTTGTAGGAGAACAGAGAAGAAAAACACTTTCAGGATTTCAGACTGACAGATTTAACTGGCACTGAACTTAAATCAGCCTCTTCTTCAAAGTTTTGTGAATCCTTCCTGTGTGTGGAAAGCAGGTTTAGCTTGGAATCCAAATAAGTGAGAGTAATTTGACATGTTCTAATTAGACTGCAGTTTTAGCTTTGAATCTATGTCTGAGAATGTTAGGTTTCTTTGGGTCTTTGGTTTTGTTTCTTATGACAATCAACCTGAGTGTCACTTGATGTAAGTCTTTAATATGTATGAGCTCATTTACATGTTGGTTCTGATTGGCTCTTGCCCAGGACAAAATACCACCGCAATAAAAGATAACAGCGCACTAATCACCACCACATTGACTTTACAGGGCAGTCGTGGGCTGGAGGTTAGAAAAACCAGCCTTGTGACCAGAAGGTCGCCATTTTGATCCCCTGAGCCGACAGTACGTGACTGAGGTGCCCATGAGCAAGGCACTTAACCCCCAACTGCTTCCTCGGCGCCGTGGATAGGGCTGGACACCGCTCTGGACAAGTGGCTCACTGCCCCCTAGTGTGTGTGTGTGTTCACTAGTGTGCATGGATGTGGGTGTTTCACTGCACAGACGGGTTAAATGCAGAAGTCTAATTCCTCTGTGTGTAAACACAGTTGGTTAATGGTTCTGAATTCTATTCTATGAATAGCTCTTATATACTGTGACTCATGTTGTGTGTGACTGTGCGCTGATCTTGTAGAATTTTATGAATCTGACTCTAAATATTTTGTCTTTGTACAGTTTTTGTTCAAATACAGGTGAAAGTAGATTCAGGAATCACTACTTTCTATTTTATTTGTATTTTATCTACTGACCCAACATTTTAAAACAGAGTTTGTACATTAACAGAACAGACATATCATTAAAATGTATGAAAGTTACATCAGTTCAATGTGAATACAGAATGTAAATAAATAGTAGAGATATGAGTAAGGATTAGCTTGACTAAATCAGTTTAACTTTTAGATCAGGTTAAATTTAGTTTAGAGATGACAGAATAAATACATATTCAAATAATCTTTATGGAATAATCATTCTGTAATAATCATTCTGTAACCTCACTCCAGTTTATACACATATACATACAGTATCATTTACATGAAATATGAAATGTCTTCTTTTTATATGATATGGAAGTGTCATGTGATTGTGTAGGTTATTTTTGTAAATTACTGACCGCTTGGGCAAAAATCATTACAGTATGTGACAAGAGATTTGCAATTGCTCAGACAACTTGTTACTGTTGTATAAACAGCATAAAGAAGAAGCAAGGTGTAGTATAAATTTATATACACCAACGGCCGGAACCTTGTGCATAAACATAATAATAACATAATAAAACTGGACAATGACTCTTTTTTGATTCTGATTTTGAGAGTATGTAATTAGTTTCAGCATCAAAAATCCAAGTCTAAAAAATTAAGAAATTTTATTTCTACCACTTATTGATGACATGTTGACAAAAATCAAACTGAATTATCTACCATTTTAATGTAAGAACTCCTAAGTGCTTCCTTTTTTCAGTGTTACATTTCTGTATCCATTAATATTAATGATATGAATAATGATTTATAGTGATTTTGATTTTTCAACTTCAAATCAAGCACTTAAGTATGCATATATGAATCACATCATTGTGGAAGAGGCAGTTTTTTTTTAGTGTAAACTGTCTGATTAACTTTTTTCCCCTGAAACAGTGTGAACTCACACACAACTACACAAAACCACAACTGTGAACTCTGAGCAGGCCGATCATCACAGCAGTGATAGAATAAATAAAGAAACAACACATGGACTTACTGTTTAACAATAAACAAGTGAGCACAATGACGTCAGGGTGAAGCTCATGCAGAAATACAAGACAGTAAACAGAGCTAACAAGACATACAGTCGTATTCAAAAGTTTCAGCACCCTAGATCAAATGTCGTATTTTACTGATTTTCAAAGTGATAATTAGTGAACTCATCTTCTACACAGAACAAACATTTTTTTATGCAATGTTACTATAACATATTAAAAAAAGCATTAAATCTAAAAGGTGCCTAGACTTTTACACAAATCACATTTTATATTTAATTATGTTCAAAATCAACTAAACACAATTTGACCCAGACTTTGCACACGACTGTAGGTGAACAGTGATTAGGGGGTGGAATAGTGTTAAATGTGTTTATAAGATTTGAAATGCAGTAAGAATATAAACTGAAACAGTGTTTTACCTTTTAAAGTCAGTCTGATGACTAAATGTGCACCTTTAACAGCACAGTAATAAACTCCCCCATCCTCCTCAGTCAGGTGTGATATGAGTAGAGAGAGATTTCCTGGAGAGTGACTATTAAACAGCTGAACTCTGTTTCTGTACTGACCGCTCTCACTGGATATCACTTCCCGTGCTTTTGTTTTTGTGTCGTCTTTCTTCCAGCTGAATCCCTCAGGTGTGGTGTGTAGGTCAGCGCAGTAGCAGGGCAGCAGTACTGACCCTCCTGTATGAGCTGTTATATTCAATAGTTTTTCTCTGTTCACCAGGGTGCAGCCTGCAGAAACACACATCAGTCAAATCAGATTAATTAGCTACTCTTTGTATGATCTCATGATTAAGTAAGTGATGTCAACCCACAGCTTTGCATGAGTACCAGAAATAAAAGAATAAATGTCCTTCATTAACAAAGAACAAAAGTTACATGTGATGCCTATTGTTGCTTTCATGTATCTATATTTTTTTAATGTCAATGACTTCCATTAAAATTAAAGAAAGTTTGGCCTTCAACTGTAAACTTATCACTTTGGAGAAGCTTGGGTTTTTTACAAAACGTACATGTAATGCTGTGTTTGCATATATTACATGTCACATGTTCATTTTCACAAAAACAGAACTTGTGCTAATTGCAATTTTTCACTGGCTCAAAAATGTAGATTTGTATGATTAGTAACTCAGTAACAAGATCAAAAATGAGACTCACCTTCAGAGACATGAAGCCCAATGAAGAGAAGATAAAAAGTCAGCAACATCCTCACTAGTAAAACAACACTGAGTTCACAGCACACTGACAGCTCCACACCCAGCACTACACTAGCCCTGTATACCACACTGAGTACACAGCTCTCTCAGCAGCTCTTCACTGGAGTCTAACCCACTCTAATGTCTGTGCAGCTCACAGGAGCTGTGTTTAAATCAGCTAGACCGGAACTCTTCTGTCTTTTTTGAGAGTTCCAAAACCGCACACAGTGACGTGGTGGTCTCTGAGCAGTGAGAACACTTCCTGTTTCCTCTTTTTTAGTACATCATTTCAAAGAACACACAAATGGATACAAGAACCAGCCAAATAAAGAAAAGTCAAACACACCTCTTCATTCTCACATTCATGCAGGGAAAAAATGCACAGACTAGCATGAATTCTAAGCTGGTCTAAGCTGGTTTGTGCTGGTTGACCAACAGTCCAGCATCCAAAACACAACATATGCTGATTTTGCTAGCAGGTATGTTCTTCCCAAATTACAGTCATCTGTCTTTAGATTTTCATTTTATGTCTTTACTTGCTTGCTTTCATCCTGTTTGGTTACTTTGAACTGTCGTTTATCACTACATTCCCCTTATAGCCTCCAATCTTGCAGGTATTCCATAAGAGCTCCACATTTGTTCCACTGGCAGTTCATCTTCCCTCTCGCAATTCTCCATCCTGACTAGTTCACCCTAATGCAGCTTGAGCAGTGAGCTTTACATGTTCTCTGGTTTTACATGTGTGTCTGTGGGTGGGCGGAGGTGGGGGGTTATGGGCTAGTGGGAGTTTGTATATAAATGTATGTATGTATATATTGGAAAGTTCAATCCATTTTGAAATCAATTAGGAATTACATGATGTGTAAATATACTCTTTATAAACGGATATGCAGCGACTTATCAGCAGTGAGAAATGCTGATTTGCTGTTGTCCATAATCTTGTCTCTCAAATATGTCTCAACACACAGATGCTTAAAAGTATGAGGCATCTCAGGCAGCTCTGACCACACATACTTTTCTCCGTCTTGTGTTTTTTTAAACTATGTCCTCTCCTTCCTGTGGTTTTGCTAGTCGTTCTCTCTGACCCTTTTATAGTAATGAGATGATAGATGATCTCATGGTTGTGAAACATCTATGTGGTCTACACCTTTTGTGGTAGCTATAATAAAATCAAGCGTGGCTGGGGCTGGAGGAGGGGCCGAACCTGGCTGAGTGGAAACCTGAAGAGGCATCAGACACAAATACTAACACCAGCATGAGTCACGCAGAGGGCTTTATTTACACATGCTGGACACACAAATATATATTCAAAGTCTTGTTTATTTCAGTCCTTTTTAAGTCCTTCTCAGTCTCTCATTCTCTTTCTTTCTCTGTCCTTCCTCCTCTACCATGCCAGAGAAAGCCCGACTTATGCTGCCAAAAGCATGAGTGTAGTGTCATGGCCACCATTTTGAAGAAATGGCTTTGAGGGTCTCTGAAGGGTGGGTCCACTACAAAGAGGGAGCTTTGCTCACAAGGCAAGTCCCCAGTGCACTTATTTTTTTGAATACACAAGCAAACAAACATTGTAGCAAAAAAGGAAATATTTACAATTGAAAACAACAAAAATGTTTAGTGATTCTTTGCGGTTAATAACCAGCATTCACTTCCTCACCAGCTCTGATCAGCATGGTAAACCCTAAAAGTCTGACAGCTGTGAATCCTCACAGACTAAACCCAAATCCCACTTCTTGTCTCTATGGCTGAGATTTCTTTTATCCTCTCTCCTCCCAGCTCAGGGACAAATCAATGTAAAGTAATTAACTACACAAAAATAACTACACAAAAATAATCAAATAATTCTCTAAATATTAACTAATACAGTGTCTTTTGGGGTAGAGTGCTTAAAACAATCTAGGTGATAAGGCAGGTTTCTGACTTCAAAATGAGACAACCCACAAATGATTAAGAGAGGAGCACCCACCAAGAGCTGGCAGGAAACATGATTCCACTTTTCCTCTGATGTAAGATACAGAACACAGTCATTATAGCTGCAGTGGGCTCCTACACTGAATTAACTGTGTTTTGTGAAAATATGTCTCAGCTTTGGCCTGTAGGAATAATCCTGCACTCACTCTGCTCTTATAATACTGCATTCACTCTCTACATCATGCCTTGATGCGCTGCTCATTTTCATTCATTAAGCAAATGTAAACTCTGCTCTATTTGTATGTGGGTGCAAGCAGCCCAACATTAGAGGGTTGATCCTCCATGCAGGGTGGTTTTGGTCAGTAGACAGCAGCTCTGCCCCTAAATTCCTGAATCCTAGTTTCAGATCAAGCCAAATCAAATCAAGCCAAGTCAAGCTTATTTATATAGCACTTTTTACAACAGGCGTTGTCACGAAGCAGTTTCACAGGAAAATACAGGTCCAGTCCTCCATGAGTGTCGCCAATGGCGAGAGTGGCAAGGAAAAACTCCCTAAGAGCAAGAGGAAGAAACCTTGAGAGGAACAAAGACTCAAAAGGGGAACCATCCTCCTCTGGTCAACACTGGATAGCAAACAATAACAGCAGATAATGAGGTTTAACCATTAGTATAAGTACAAGATAAGGAAAAGGGGAAAAGCAGGAAAAGCAATGACTATGATTAAATAGTTTGAGTCTGTGCAGCAGCAGCAGCATCAGGAGGGTCAGTTCATGCAGGTGAGGTTTGCACAGTGTTATACAGCAGGAAGCTGCAATGTGGTCAAACTGGTTTAGAAGACTGGTAAGCAGTGAGCACCCGATCAAGGCAAATGAAGCAACAGCATCAGACCCCACAGGATGGGCAAAGAAACACACAGGCATTTAGTTGTGTTAAGAGGGACTGGATACAGTATACAGTGTAAACAGAGTGCAGCAGAGACTCCGGCAGGTCTAGTTATTACAGCTTAACTAAAAGGGAGAAACCAGAAAGGTAACAGAGACATGAGGCTCCCTGAGATATCGGCTCCCCTCCGCTCCACCATCAGCAAACTTGAGTGAACACGTGAGAGCAGTGGGACGACAGCAACAACACTCCCAGTTTACTATAACACTCCATGTCCAATAACCCCCAGATCTGCGCCATTTACCTAAGGTGAAAAACTAATTGCCAAAGGCTCGACTGAACAAGTGAGTTTTTAGCCTAGACTTAAAGACTGAGGCTGTGTCTGAGTCCCGAACACTGACTGGAAGATTATTCCAAAGCTGGGGGGCTTTGTATGAGAAGATTCTCCCCCCCTGATACCCACCTTTTTCCATGACTCCTACACTCCACTCGAGATCTTCAGTAAAGTTAAATCTAGCCTTTTAGTGCAAATGAGAAGATCATAACCCAGAACTCGAGTAAAAGTCTTTTTTCATTGGCATTAATTGACAGTGTGGCCTTAATAACTAATTAGTAAATACTAATGAGACAGGTCTGATTCCAGCCCTGTTTTTCAACAGTTGTTTTTACACAAAATTAGCTTCCATAATTGCTGTACACACTTAATGGTTCTTTCATAAAGAAAATGGTTCTATTTAGAACCAAAAACATTCAAAGAACCCTTTGCATGATTAAATAGTTCTTTGCATCATGAAAGGGTTCTTCAGACTGATGGAGAATGTGCTGTAGATGGTTATGGTTAGAACCTTTTTGAAAAGGGTTCAAAAAGCACCATATAGCACCAAAAAGGGCTCTTCTTTTGTAACAGTCCTCACTTGGTAACAATGTTATAACAATTGTAACTGCCTTTTTGGTCCTATATAGAACCTTTTTGAAAAACCACCTACAGCACATTTGCCATCAGTCTGAAGAACCCATTCACGATGCAAAGGACCATTTAGTAATGCAAAGGGTTCTTTGACTGTTCATGGTTCAATATAGAACCATTTTCTTTACTAAAGAACCCTTGAAGAACCATCTTTTTTAAGTGTGTACATACAACCAAACACAAGCATCATGATGAGCTTCTGTATGAAGATAGAAGTTTCATTGATTTTTCATTCTGAATAGTTAGTTTGCATTTGATTAACTGTAAAGTGACATCATTGATTTTGGCACAGGACAGAGTGGAACTTTATGGAAGCAATTATATGAATTTATACAACAGTTAGTTCTGGGCACGCAAGCTGATTGGTTGAGAAGCATTCTAACCATGCTGCTATTTCATCATAACATCACAGGTTTTTCCACAAACACTGTATCACTCCGCTAAGACGCCGTTGCTAAGCAACAACTCAGATAGCTGTATGGGACGCCCAAGCCATTTGAACGGTTTTACTTCTTACTTTGCCACAAACAGAAAATGGATACTTTTAAGTTCACATTTGACCGACAGACGATTTGGTCAGACTCTGAAGATGAGACGACACTAAACTCCCAAACTGTCATCACCACTGAGCAGCTTTTCAGTCGGCAGGTGTGACAGAAGAACAGCTAAACAACCTGGAATCAGCCAGAAATTAACCAAATACCATTTGCCAAACGTGTAGTCTGATCTTCAGAGTCTGACCTAATCAGACTGAACCATAAAACTGCCGCAATAAACAACAAAAAAGCTTATGTGTAGAGAAATTTTAAACATTTCCACTTCCGTTTTTAAGATGTTCTGGCTACCAAATTGTAAATAAATGCAGGTGCTGCAGAACAGCCCTACTTTTTAATTTAGTTACTCAGTTAATCATATTATGTTGACTTCCCCCATCACTGATCAGAAATATAACAGAGCTTAGACTCTTAAGTTACTTTGCTAAAGCAAGCATTTATCTAAACATTAGCACTTAACATTTTATAATAACAGGTTATATTCAACATTAAATGTCTTTGTTCGCTGCAGCTTTAATCTTCTTGAAACTTCAAATTCAACTTCTATTAATAAAGGCTATTTTAAACAGCATGTGTCTGCCTTTTTACATGTTAAATGTCCCCATTACATAGAAAGTCTTTGCATATATCTATTGTGGTGAAGGGCATCTCCGTCACAGAGAGCACAAAAAAAAAAGAAAATTCCACAAAAATACAAGAAAATCTTAAACTTAACTGCAGTCAGTGTGTTGTACTTACCATCAGACAAAGTACTAGATGTTGTATGTTCTGCTGGTGCCTCTGTAGAGAGAGAAGAGTTTGACAGAACAGTATATGTATGTAGATACACAGTGATGTTGAGACATTTTTTT